CATACAGTTTGTAGGTATGTTACATAATATTACTTTGTTTTTATATTTTAGACTATTCTAGGTCACTTTCTCAACAAAACAGAAGCTCCTACTTACTTTTTCCGGCCAAAGGGAACACAATGTCAGCCCGTCCCATCGTAGAGTCAATCCGAGTCGCTCTCTTCGGACCACCTCGGCCTCTTCGCAGCAGCCTCCTCCTCGTCGTCGCTCTCTTCCCTGCGTCGTTTTGTGGAGGAGTCCTCAAGGCTGACGACATCGATCTCAGGGTCCTCCTCCTCTTCGGGTAGCCCATACCTGTACCTGTCAATAATACACTCAAAAGCAGCATTAAAAGCGTCACATCTGAACATCTGAAACAACAGCTGAACAGCTGAACCAGCACCTGGCAGATGGAACCCGTTTTCGTGCTGAACGCTCAGTCCTAGGAGCAGGTTTAATGTTACTGTAATGAGTACCCATCCACGGTAGTTGGCGCAGTGCTTGGTGAGGATGTTGGTGATCTGTGGGTCCTGGATGGAGCTGAACACCAGCGTCTGCCGGTAGTGTCTGGCCCAGTTGTTCAGGTTTCACATCCTCACCCTGGAGAAGTCCACTCCATGGGAGTCCAGCGGCTGCAGGTTTATGTGCTTCATCACATGCTGTAGAGGGGTGGACGGTGTCAATTGTTATAAAACATTGACTTATACAGACACCTTAACCATATCATTTTAACCAATCGGATTCCAAAAATAGTCAGACTTAAATCTGAAATGCTCAATGCTCTCCAGTAGTGCTTCTATTTCCTAAATTATAACATATTGTGATTCATCAAATTCTACAATTATTGTTAAACAGCAGTTGGCGCCACATTCTTCCCAACAGTAAGAACACAACACCGCTGATTAGATGCCATCCTGCAGTAATGTGTGCTGTTGAACAGATGTGTGTTCTTATCAAGACGTGTTCCCAGTTCTGCATGAGTAAGTCGTCTGCCTGGTCCACCACCAGCAGATCGATGGAGGAGAGGAAGTCAAAGTCTCGCTTACTTTCTCCTTCTGCTCCCAGCACCGTACGGAGGCTCAGCGGTGACGCGATGATGATGTCCGATGAATAAAAGGGGGAGTACAGGCGTATGCTGCTGCTCACAATGGAGACGCCTGGGGAGGAGACAAGACAGCGACAAGGCCTCAGACGGGAAGACTTGGTGGTTTGTCTAAAGATTGTCTGACTTCTGTTTGTTAAACCGTACCTATCTTGAAGTGATCGTCCACGTTGCCCGAGAAGATGGCGCTGTAATCGTCTGGCCTCTGCTGATTGGGCGGCTTGTCATCTGCCTCTTTGCCGAACTCTTCCTTGAACCTCTTCTTGTTGTTGACCACTATCTTCTTGCCTTTGGTCTCCAGCAGGCTGATGAGCGTCTGGACGACCCGCAGAGCTCCGCCTCGGAACGGAACGAGGATCAGGACCTGACATATTTATAACAATCATTACAACAGAGAGAATTAATATTGCGCTTTTGAACACTTGTGGCTAAGTGGACGCATTATGAAAAGTGATGATAGTAGATCACATGAATGTACTGGACGACCTAAATAACCCTGAGTGAGCAATACTGCCGCTTCTGTTGCAGGTGGAGCATCAAGTAATGCAATTAGGGATCACTCTCAGATCACTCATGCATACGACATAACTGCTGGACTAGATTATGTTCAGGGTGAAATATAATGGATTCTACTCACACACATGCAGACTTGTGAGCAGCATACATGGAATTTGTCTCCGGTTTCCACTCCACTCTCAATGTACATACAATAAACAAGGAAAAATATATAAGAATAAAAAAGGGCAGCAAAAAAGTAGAACAGATGTAGGTATAATCATTTAACAGCTATTTTGTTCCCTGATGTTAATTATATTTGAATGGCCCTTGCTCTTTAGTGTGAGCGTTGCTGGATTGTTTTGTCATGCTTTGTTGTGAATATATGTGACGGTTCTTCTGAGTTAGCTCTTGTCATTGTGTTAATTACATCGATTTTGTCCATATGCATTGTCCGTTAATTACGAAGCATACCGTCCTGCGTGGGTTTAGGGTCCGGATAATTGAATCAGTTTGGGCTGTTTTCTTTTACAAACAAGAATTATGGTCTGGAGAAATGGGGATTGTGTGGCGGTCGCTTAGCCCTGTTTGAATCAGTAGGGAACAGCTAAACGCTGCGGGGAGAATGTAGCGCGAGTTTGTGCGTGTTGTTTTGCTTCCGGGGTCAGACGCTGACCCGGAAACTAAACAGACAGACAGACCGGTGTCCACCGAAAACGTTATATTTACCACAATTTAAGCTTCTGCATTTTACAAATGCACCAGTATTATTGTTCGGTTTGTAAGCCTTGTACCGAACGGTTTAAAACGAATACGTGATGTTACACCCCTAGAAACAAATAACCGTAGCTGTGGCGCCATCATGAGGTTATTAGGTGGTAAGACAGCAGTGAAGGCCCAGGTATAAAATGCACGGCCCGCCACTGGTTTACACATTAGTTTGAACTATTAATAAAATCCCCTCAATTAGGCAAACAGCAAACCCCACAGCTAACCCCAACCCCAGCAGTATTAATTGATGGTTTGGCCACTTGGGGGCAGTGTAAAAAGCTGTAAACATCAACAACATTATACTGTATTATTACCCAATGAAATTGTTATGGCAAACTTGCTGATCATACCTGTTGCTCCATAAGTTATTTCCAGAACAAGATTATAGCTCATGTGTTTCCCATTGTAGTGTCTTTGTGTTATAGCTTCCTCCTCAGGGCTGTGCACCATCAGCATCCCTCAAACTGACAGATTCAAATAGATTCCTCAGTTTCCCTTGTCCTGCATTCAGATGGCTTCTGTAGTTCCTCTAGATGGCTGCTGTAGTTCTGTAGTTTTGAAATTGAGTTCCTCCATTTTATGCTACTTTATACTTTTCAGATTAGGCTTTTATATTGAAAACACATAAAGTTATACAATACAAGGAATTGTTAAAACTGTGGTTTCAACATGATTGGCCTGTGGTCACTTAAAAAATATCACAGTACATTGTCATGTATCAGATGTCTATGAGTTGAAACATTTCCTCTCTAGATTTGGTTTTAATTGGGGGGGGGGGGGGGGCAAACCTTAGGTTGGGAACCACTGGACTAAACTAGCTAACAGCACAACAATAATGTCTTTGCCACTTTGTTGAATATGTAAGCCAAATTTATATTTATTATAATATATTAGATATATTATTACGATTTCATTGTTTTTCATTGACTATGTTTAAAGTGCTTTCTTTTTAAATAAGGGGCTTGGTGATTTTGTAATGTAGTATAAAGGCTCATGTGGTGTTAGAGAAATACAACATTTTCCTTCAAAAAGGCTTTTTGTAGTTACACAGCTATAAACGAGTGATATGAAGAACCTATTTTATGTTGGCGTGTAGGAGGGTAAAAAAGATCTGGTCCATACATGACAGTGGGACAGCCCTAAACCCTCACAGATTTTGAGGCGCACTCCACAAAGTCTGTGAGGGTTCAGGGCTGTGAAATCATCGAGTGTTTGAGGGCTCTCTCGCAGACATTTTGAGCCCTTTATGAAGACTTTCCTTAAGAGAGCATTAGATGCAGACTTTGCCCAAGGGAATTACCCACAATTCTTTGCAATGTGACGTTAAACACGGGTTAACCAGTGGAAGCATGGAGACGTAAAAAAAGGTTAACAAAGAGGACGGCACATGGGTGTTTAGCCTGGAATATTACATTTACTCAGAAACAAGAATGAAAGATTGAACACACAAACACATGAAATCGTGGATGAACTGCAGGTGTGCAGACTTGGAGGGATGATTTGCTTATTGCAGGTGGGTGAGCAGAGCCAGCAGGACCACACCACACACAGAGGTGGTAGATGACTGATGCTACATTAAGAAGAGGAAAACAAGAGGACATGTTTATCATCTTTATCCAGACTTGTAGCATTTTTTTCATTTAGCATCCATAAGCATTATGCAAACAATGAAACTAATGAATAAAACACATCGTAATGCATCTGTAAGCAGCCAATTTATCTTTTTGTCTCGAGTGTTACCTCTTCTATGTAAGGAATTTTGATGTTTTCATGGTAAAGTGATATGTTGCAGCAAAGTGCTGTCCCATTCGTATTTACAACATTTGAAGCCCTCACAGTCTCTCATACTCAACCATTTAAAAGGGGATGTCAGCAAGTCCCTGAGGAATCATGGTGTAAGGCCTTAAGAGGGCCATTGGGACCTCGGCCCACCACTCGTGGGGCCTCTACCATAAAGTAAGCTAAGAAAAGTGAGGCTTAACACCCCTCCCCCCCCAAAAAAAGAAGAAAAGCGCCAACAAAAACCTTGAAAAACGTAACTTATACCAAGTAGTAGCAAAAAAAAGAGAGCCTGAGAGAAGTGTTTAAACACAGTATATATACAGTATACAATATACAGCCGTGCGCACACCCGGATAAACATACCCCACGTGTTGTAGTAGACGTTGTGCTGCATCAAGTTCACAGAGAGAAATGATTACTACCGGAATTTAATAATTTTGCCTTCAGAATAAATTGTAGGAATAATTTGGCACCAAAATATAGCAAAAGAACGAATCATTATTATAATTATTTCAACATGTATTGATTGCACATTTTTTTCAATACGTCAATCAGCAATGATTAGATTTTTACAATATGATATGGACTTAAGAAGCAATTTTCTATTGTCAAATGAAATGCCTAATCATACCTACTGAATGCGTTTATCAATGTAGGCTTGCTGTATGATGTGAAAAGGACGAAATTAAATATTTTTTCTTGCATAATTTGTCATTGTACTGTATGTGTTTATTGTAGTTTGTGTTCGTTTAGCAGTCATTTTAAACACTCGTTTATGAAGCGTATATTTTGAAGGTTGATAACGGAAGTAGTTTGGTTCATTGTGGCGATGTTACACTGGCTAGGAGTTTCATGCGGTGACATGAGGTTGTATGCAGCACGGATTCAGTAGCCCCACCAACGAACAGGTATTACTTTCAGCAAACTCATTGTTACTTTGCTGACATGGTGTTTACGGAACTCACTGGAAAGGAGTCCTGGCATCAAGCTGGTTGACGACTGTTTAACCGTAACTTCGTAACTTAAATAGCCATGGTTAGCTTGTAGCTAGTTAGCCGACTAGCGCTAACGTGGATGTAAATTAGCTAACGTTACTATTTATAATGTCTTTGATTTTAGACTGTCCTTACTGTGATTTTATTCTGCTTGTCAACTTCGTTTTTCTGATTTTGTACATAACAGTTAGTTTTGAAATAAATGGAGACAATTGTTAGAGTTGTCCTTTGAACCTTCGTGCTAAGGTACTTTTTACTTCTAACTTTAACTGAACACATTTAACGTGAAGTATTTAAACTCACGGTGCCATTCTGTACGGTGAACAGTGTAAGTTCCTGTTAACGTTACATTGAATGGGTCCTTACACCGAGCACGCTTCTATCTTTTGTTTCCTTTGGAAGAAGTGACGGCTGTCCATCCGTTGGTAAAAGAAAGTAACTAAAATAATAAGCTGCTTTGTGGATCCTTTAATGTCACGTGTTATCTGAAGACCTGCCATCAAATATTTGAATGTGTTTGCTTCAGATGGATGAAAACGTACCTGAGGAGAATGGACAGAAGACACCAGTGCACGAGGAAGAGATGGAGGTTACCATGATGTCGCAACTAGAAAATGTCATGGTAACACCAGTCAATGCAGACACATCATCAAATACAGAAAAGCATCCAGAGGAACAAGGAGATGTACATGCAGACTCCACAGCAGCAGCGCTTTCTCTAGACGCTGTTTGTAAGACGGGGGCCTGTGAGGATGAGGATTCAGATGATTCAGACAGGTATTCATACAATCTGACTGAAGGATTGTTGTTGATGTAGTAAGACTGAACATTCAGGTTACAGCACAAGAATAGATACAAATAATTCACTGATGCTTTTCCTCTCCTGTCTCCAGCTCTTCATCCTCCTCTTCTTCTTCCTCTTCTTCTTCATCCTCCTCTTCTCCCTCTGCCCCCATTTTTGAGGATGACGACGAGGGTTTCAGCCAACCAGCCCCCATCAAGACCAGAGATGAAGTCCTGCTCGAGGTCAGTCTGTCTGTCATCAGTGTTTGTAAGGAGTCCTGCACTGCTAGTATGGTGAATGGACTGTACTTGTATTTCTCTTTTCTAGTCTTCTGACCGCTCAAAGCTCTTTAACACTACATGTCATTCATTCATTCATACACTGATGACGGGGCTACCATGCAAGGTGCTCATCAGGACTATCTAACATTCACACACTGTAGGCACAGCTACAGGAGCAGTTTGGGGTTAAGTGCCTTGCCCAAGGACACATGGACATAGACTAGTGGAGCTGGGGATGGAACCGCCGATCCTCTGAAGGCTCTACCACTGAGCCACAGTCGCCCAACAAGTGTGCAGTGTGGCAGCTCTTTTCCTTTTACACACACTGTTCTGTTCTCATTTGTAAGGAGGGTACACTCCCCACAAGGTGTCCCAGAATGCACAAGCATCTTATTACACTACTTACCGTACACTATTTTCCCCCATTGTGTTCTAAACCCTATGATCAAATTGACCGTTTAGACCAAAAAGCTGACTGTTTGTGTGTAGGAGCTGCCAGCAGTGGAGGAGGTGTCTGTGTCGTTACCAGAAGATGCAGAATTGCAGCCTATAGGAACAGTCTCCAGTGTTATACAGCAACTTGGTAAATATACAAACACCCATTCATGCTAAGGTCACACTGCAACTTTCTAACCAACTGGAAACAGAGTTTTTCTGAGGTAGAGAATAGTGTCAGTGGAGGCTTTTATGTGCATTTTTTTTTAACCGCACTTTGGATGTCTGCAGTTGTAATCCAGTCTCTGAAAGACACGCCCCCTCTGACTGACGACAGCATCATCTTTACGTCTGATAGGCTGGCTCTTGGCAAGGTGGGTGAACCAGCAGAGGCTTTACCTCTGTCTACTCGTGATTTATGTCCTCCGTTAGCGTCCTGTTGGTTCCTACATGGTAATGTTCTCTTGTTTATGTGTTTCAGGTGTTTGAGGTATTTGGTCCAGTGTCCAGTCCTCTCTATATTTTGCGTTTTAACTCTGTGGACCAGATAAGCAGCAAGGGGCTGACAGAGGGACAGACTGTTTATTACACCCCGGACAACAAAGAGTACACGAGTTACATCCTCACACAACAGCTCAAAGTGTAAGTGCATGCACACACAGTATATGATGCATGGAGCACATTAAAGCAAGACAAATAGCAGGATTAGTTATTTAGTTTGTTTGTTGAGCAGTAGTCACTTTGATAAGAAGAAGTGAAGTTTGTTTCTGTGAAATTAAACCTGCTTTTCCTTCAGTTTTAAGGGATCTGATGCATCCTGGAAGAACGACCAAGAGCCACCAAAGGAGGTAAGCACAGGACTGGAATGTGAACTAGCATGTTGATTAAAGGTTCAGAAGTTAACTTTAATTAAAACAGCTTGTTGTCATATTTGAGGAAACTGTCACTGTATCCTGACAGTAGGACATGAGACATGTAATCTGGGACAAAAAAACAGGTTCCTTTGGCTCCCCCTAGTGCTCCGAATGGCATTTGCAATATTCCACCGTGCCTGAATGAAGGCAACCAATCAGAACTGAGGAGTCTCGAACACATTGTCATCGTTAGGGCTGGCTAGGATCCGCTGTTTGGCTCATTCTCTGTAACCACGGTAGCATGAAAGCATGGTGGCATTATCTCTAGCCAGCTGCACTGCACTGGTCTCCCTCCACGTTAGAACAAGTCTATGGGATGATGCAAAACGATCCGGAGGACTTTCTCCAGCGGGTGAGCGGGGGGGAACTTCATGGCGTGACTGCGCATGCAGTGACCGAACCCATGTCACGGTGTAGGAAAGCACAGTGCGACCGCCGGATGAGTGACAACTTTGTTAAGCTCATTTTTTTGTAATCGGTGTATCCTGAAAATATGGTGGAATTAGCATATGCCCATGGGAAATAGTTAGCAGATGGCGCACTGTTTATGCTTAATGTGCAAAATGTACTGTGAAGAACAGGGTGTATCCGTGAAAACGCCATGAACAACCTCCACACTGCCGAAGAGGAATATAGCTGTTAACCCATATCTCATATTCATGGACTACTTTATTCCCTTTATACAAGACCTGAACAGAAAGAAGTCAAGTATTAAAAGCATTGTAAAGAAACAAAAGGTTGAATACGCTGTAGACTGGCTGAACATTTTTCAAAACCATTTCAAAACAAAGTGGCCTTCTTTGTGAAATCCTCAGGAGTTTAATAATGCTTTGATCAGTGAACTCTGACGGTAACGTGGTGCATGTTACTGTTCATATAGACCGAGTCATTTTAAGAAGAAAGCCGCGGTTGTAGCTGACTGTTTCTGACTCATGTTACTTTGTAAAGTTCGTCTGAAGAGTTTCCACTAGCCTCTAAACGATGCGGTGCTTTGTCCCTCTCCTCTCTCTCCAGGCCTTAGATTACAGTGATGATGAGAGAGAACACGAAGCCAAGAGGAAATTGAAGAACTCCAGAAAGAAGAAGGACAATAACAGTCCAGGTATTTGCACACATAGAGGAAGACGGTAGCTGACATGTTTGGGTGGTTTTATGGTGTTACTATCTGAACGAAGTGGAAAGTAATAAACCTTTTTTTCCTCCCTCCAGATAATCCTGCCCACGTTACCCAGAACACCTCGCTGCAGCGTAATGTCAGGGGTTTCCCATCAAGACACGCAGGACCTCCACTCAGGCACCAGAACCCGAGGAATAACCACCCACAGTTCAGCCACACACCCGCTCCACCCAGACACATACACCCACCCCCCAGGCACACTAATGTGCATCCCATGTACCTCCCCCCTCCCTGCCCTTACCCTCCTCCACCGTCTCACTTTTTTCCCCCACCCAACTTCCCCCTGTACCCCCCCCCTCCTCCTCCCTCTTACTTCAACCCGTCTTTCTCCTGTTCTCTCTGGCCACCAAACTCTGTGCCCTTCACTGACCCCCCTCCTCCTCCCCCCCCCCCTCCCCCCCAGTAATGTACATGTACACACTAACCAGAGCTCCTGCTGGTGAGTTGTTTTGGGTTGTCATCTTTTTGTGGACTGTCAGACTGGACAAATCCTGGCTGTGCTTGTTAACAGTTTGTTAGGCTCTACAATCACGGAGTATGAAATATTAACATAGCTGATGGAGCTCAGTAATGTGCTGTCACCAGCAGTGCAGTGCAGACACTGCAGTGATTTTAAGTTTAAAACTATAATTTTTCCCATCTAGACCTCCTGAAGAGCCTTTGACTTTATGTAAATGTCATGCTTGTTTTGATTTTCACACTAAACACAAGTACTTGTTTTCTTTTCTAGCTCAACTGGGTACAAATAGTTTTGAACAAAACAGACGTGGCTTCTTGACTCTTTCATGATTATGATTTTAATGAGCTAGCAGGACTTGCATAAGAACAAACAAATGTGTGATATTAAATATATCATTAGACAGATAAGATAAATGGAAAGTGTGTGTGTGTGTGTGTGTGTGTGTGTGTGTGTGTGTGTGTGT